CAGAAAGAAATTGAAGGAAAACAATTAAAACAATTAAAGCAAGTCTTGCATTTTCGGTTCACTTTTGAACCGAGATTTCCGGAGTTGACAAGTCTCTCTTTCTCGCTCCGCCTCTCCGTGCTACGTCATGTAATGTACACTATAGTGGATCGATACTATATAACAATGAAAGAGAGACTTGGAGCAGCACAAGGCGAGATCTCGGCTAGCACAAGGCGAGATCTCGGCTAGCCAGGCTGGTGCGTTTCTCGTTTGAACACAAAATGAATTTTATATGCGTTAATAAAGGACATGCAGATCTCAGTCAGGTAAGTTTCCCGGTCAGTTACGCTCGTATGAACAACAGAACAAGCTCTAAACCTGTGACATACCGTTTTTCTCCACGGGAACATTACATTTCGTGTTCGGACATCTCTTGGTCGTATTCCTGATGCGTTCTTCTGACTGGCGGTCCCATCTTGACCGCTCATTGTTTGTTTCACTCACTTGAAATCTCTGAACAGACAGGATAATAATAAACATTTTCAATTAGAGTTAAGGTAGAGTAATACGGGCAACAAAATTGCTGCAACTTGCAACAAAATCTGATTTCAACGCATGTTAAGTAGAAATGTTGACACATGTTGCCTCGTGATTTGTAATGTATGTGTAAACATTTTCAATTAACATGCGTAGAAATCAGATTTTGTTGCAAGTTGCAGCAATTTTGTTGCCCGTATTACTCTACCTTTAAAGAAAGCCGAAGCAAGCGCCTGAGCTCAAGGCCTGTAACAGCGCCATGTAAATTCAAAAGCCGAACTCAAACAAATTTAAATCACTTACGTAATATTTCAAATCCGTCTAAGAGGACTGGATTAGATTTCAAGTGCGCGCAATTTGATCACAATGTGAGGACTTGAAATGTAGTCCAGTCCAAATTGGAGAATTTGAAATGACATCTCGTACGAATAAATCACTACTTCAAGTGAGTGAAAAAAAATTTTGATCCAGTCCAAGGAATGAATTAATTTCGATCCAGTATCGATACTTCAATATGGTTGGCTAATTTACTCATGAATTATTATTGAGATTGAAATATTCAGGTTCGGTAGATAATAAGTGCAACTTTACATAGAGAATAAATTGTACCCAGTCTCCAAACCCTGTATTCTATGGTAACTTACGTTTGCGCCCGTTGTTCCTGTAGCAGTTGCACCAGCGGTTTCATTATTTGTTTGGCATGGTCCATCATGATAGGCACGAGAACAATTGCGGCAAAACACGAGCTGAAATATTGAATGTAATGTTGAATGATTAATAAGATCTGGAGCTATCCAGAATAAATAAAGTTAGTTTAGTTTAGGTTTCTTCCTGTAGTAACACTGGATCAATAAGAGATGATCCTTACTGGACCTCTAGAGCTATCCAGTATAAATAAAGTTAGTTTAGTTTAGGTTTCCTCCTGTAGTAACACTGGATCAATAACAGATGATCCTTACTGGACCTCTAGGGAGAACAGTTTAGAACTGATAGAGCTATCCAGTATAAATAAAGTTAGTTTAGTTTAGGTTTCTTCCTGTAATAACACTGGATCAATAAGAGATGATCCTTACTGGACCTCTAGGAAGAACAGTTTAGAACTGATAGAGCTATCCAGTATAATAAAGTTAGTTTAGTTTAGGTTTCCTCCTGTTGTAACACTGGATCAACAAGAGATGATCCTTACTGGACCTCTAGGAAGAACAGTTTAGAACTGATAGAGCTATCCAGTATAAATAAAGTTAGTTTAGTTTAGGTTTCCTCCTGTAGTAACAGTGGATCAATAAGAGATGACTCTTACTGGACCTCTAGAAAGAACAGTTTAGAACTGATAGAGCTATCCAG